CACCAGCTGAAAATGACAGCGGTGTCAAGTTTTATAAACATGAGAATAGAAATTCTATTAACCAGGGCACATAGGCCCCCTCCAAATTCAAAAAATTTTCATTTTCTGTGAGAAGGTAGTATACTATTGTAGTATGCGTAAAAAACATATTTTCAGCTGCCATCGTCAACCATGTGTACGTGCTGCATATTTAATTTGCAATCCTTATTAATTTTTTTAAATGTAATAATATTATATATATGTGCGCTAATACAACGATGTTCTCGTTAGTTGTTCTTTGCTCTAGTACGGTGCACGAAAGTTGTTAGTTATTTTAGCTTTGCGTTCTGGCATACCCTGGTACATATCAGATATTAGGGTCAAGATTTTAATTGTTTTAGAATGAACTGAATAACCGTCTGCCGGCATTTGCTTTTGTTTAGGTACTTTTATGGCTATTGCCTGATAAAATGATTAAAATCATTATAATACCTCACATACAAATTCCACGTTACTGGACAGCAGCATTGAGGAGCTTTAAACTGATTAGGCGCCGACCTGCGCTGTTAACTTACGAATATCTGGCCACAACTGAAAAGATGCGGCAACACGCGCGGATACTGTAGGGAAAAGCAGCATGCAGCGGGTATTTCACGGCCTAGACCAGGGCACTGCGGGGCACTGTTGTACGCTACAATTCGTGCAACGTGCGCAGCAGTGCCGTCGTCCAGCCCTGCAGAATAACAGAATTAGCGATGGCAAAAAGCGGTCCGTAGAACGTCAATGCCACTTCACATAATCATTAAATTCCGCAGAAATTGATGCTTTCTAATTTTAAAGAATCCCACATAGCAGAAATGGACGACAAATTTGTATTGTGCGCTCGCCGACTGTAAATACTCCACGATCGCCAAAATCAACGAAACCCAGCAACTGGAAAATGCACATTTGCCAACCTTAGCATGCGGTTGTCCGAGTATTATGTACATGTACGTGATGTACGATGTGGGATTGAGATAAGAGTTCTCGAGAAGAATAAATGTCCGACGGATTACGTTGATCATCGTGTTAGCGATGAGCCAAACATTACTTTTCCGTTGACTGAAACTAGCGGCTTAAATTAACAGCTATTCTTATAAAGCGCCGTATCAGATGAACCCTGGACGCTCAATAATTTGGGTACCGAATACAAAGGTCAATTCTGCACAGTTAAACGACCTGCGATACAATTCCATCGCTATGCCAAGCCGCTGCATTATTCCACGGTTTTGCTAATCTGTGTAACGAGAATTCCTCCCAGTAAATTTGTGCATAAGAGGTTTTTTTTAACTTATGTACGAGTACTAGAGGACGAGATTTTCTGAAACGATATGGAAAAATTTGTATACCAGAATCCTACATAGATTTTCCGAGTACGCATATGGCTCTTGGTCTGCTGATACTTGCGAACGCATGCACTGAATTCACAGAAATAAACTTTACATGGCCCCCGAATAATGTATCCATTTCTGAGCAACGCTGGACAAAAGTCTTACTGTGTAATGTACGATGTACCGTAAGAGTATAGGTAAGAATTTCGATGCCGCGGTCGCCGTGTCTGTTATAAACTTACAGTACCAACTTCCGTGCAGAAATTTAGGTAGAAATACCGGCTTACAGCGTGTGCATTGCTGCCGTTCTGTTTCCCGGTGCTGCCTGCAACTAATTAGTATTTACAATGTAGACGTTGACGGTAGCGTAACTAGCGTTTTCTGTTATCCGTACGCTGCACACCCAAGACATAACCCAAGAGGAACCTGCGGCTGTCCAAAAATTGTCTTTTCCTTGAAATATTGCTTTAACTTTCATGTCCAGTTCAACGTTTTGAAAGATTTCTTATTCAAGGCGTTCCGGACGATGTTCCGCTGTACTGGAGGAAACCGTTTTGATAACATGGCAAGGCGTACCAGTTTTCGACATTCCCCAGCCAGCTAACATGCACTCACAAAGTGCATAATAGTGGGATGGAATTTGCTGAAGAGCAAGGTGCACCGCTGCGTTATTATTATTCGACTATTGAACTCTATAATTATTAAGTTGCCATGAATATTTGTGGCGAGTGCGTTTATCATGAGTCTAACAACTGCATAACACTATCGTCCTACAATTTTTTTTAATTTCAAAATTTATTAATGTTTTTCGTTCGACAAAGTTTTTTTTCTTGGACTCTTACAATGAAAAGAAACGATGATTATCAAAGCAATTCGCAGAGAACGCATCGTGCCTATTTTATGCCCATTCAAAAGCGTTGCGTTTTCCGTTTTACATTTTTACTATGACCGTTTCCTAAGGTAGTTGGTATTTTTGGATGGCTGCTCTTTTATACAACGCAATATGGAAGTGGGAGAAAGCTAACGAACCGGCTCCTTACAAATATCCGGCGTATATTTAATCTGGATTGCTACGATCCAGGTGCCAGTGGATAGTAGCCGTTCAGATGAAACGTTTACCGGCTCTTTTCATTGCATTTTGTAATTTCATCCCATTACGCTGCAGATCCCATTACGCTGAAAATCTAAACAGGGTGCCACCGAAGAGCAGACATCAGAATCTCAGATATCACCGCGTGAGTGTTACGGGATCGGCGGAAGCGTAATCGTGGCCAAGAATGAAATACTTAACATTCATTTGAAAGCACACAAGCGTTGCATTATTAATAGTCCATTGCTTGTGTTCTTTGTAATGAATGTTATATGGAATATAACTTTTGACCCTTCCAGAACCGATGGGGTATCAAATAATAATAATTTTGTCACTGCCAGAGGCCCATGACTGCGCCTGGTGCGTACGGTCCACACAGGACGTACTTGCACTCATTGCTTGCCATATCGCCTCTCTCGCTTGTACGTACGTGTGCTGCTGCACTGCACTCATCCGCTGAAGCGGATATACGCAGCGCATACACTGAGCATACTTGCTCTCTCGTCCCTCTCTCGCAGTATGACTCAGCGTTCATACGCTCGCGTTGGATAGAGTCCAGTCTGCGCATCATCACACAGCTGATGGCTCACACCACGTGCTTGCCGCCAGTTGCTGCTTTCACGCTTTGACAGACGCTCAAGAACCCACTTAGCATTCACTTGCTTGTTAGCCATCAGTGCTTTGTTCTTGCTTTCCTGCTATTACGCAGCTTTGTTCCCCCTTTATTTGTACAATAAAGCTCCACTCGTGATCTCCTCGTGCTTGTCTGTTACATCACATAGATAATTAATAAATAAATAATTTATAAAAATACAGATAAATAATTATTCAAATTCTAAAAGTTTATTAGAAAACTGTTCGGTTTTGCATACTGCCAGACACGTTACTGCACTGTTTTATGGCACCGTATACCAAATGATTTGCGCCTGTTTACACTGGACTGATAACCGTTGCTGCACGCAACATCAGGTGGTTGCAAAGCAATGTTTAAAATAGGCTATTACTTTACAGCAAACCAGTTTAGCAACTGCCGTTTTTTCATTCGCCGGTATATGCCATGTGCGAAAATAAAACACTTCAGACGCCAGTACAAATTCCAGTACAAATTCCAGTACAATCTACCGGGCCTAAAATTACTCTGCAGATTTCTCGCTGCAAGCCATGCGCTAAGTTCATAACACTGTCGTAATTAGCCGCGAAAATTGCGGAATGACGTGTACAAGAAGTATGAGAAAAACTATGTAAGTAGTTTTAGTTATTTTCATACTTAACCTGCTGACCTTTACTGTGCTTTTACGAAATAACCGCTGTACGGTAATTATTAGTCGGGGTCAGTTCAGTGAATCACGGTAACTTTTTTCCTGTTCAAGCATAGCACAGCAAATTCTTTCTCAGCATATGATTGTATGTTAGCAGAAAGCAGTCCAGTTTTCGTTTTCTTTTATAGTGACCGTACCAGGTACTGTACATAATGGTGGAAAAGTGTTTGGTACATTAGTCATGTCTGTCTATGCAGACTGTAAAGCCCAGCAGAAGTTTTGCACACATGGTCTGCCATGCGAATAGCCACCGGAAGTAAAGTGTTTGGCAGTTCAAACGTTTAGCTGAGTATTATAGGCATACTTAAGTTGACTGTCACAGAAACCAATGCAGCAGAATTACGAGTTATATTAAGAGTACGCGCTCAGTATATAGATATATTGTACAGTGTACATTGATAAGCGAGCTTTACTAAAATTAATTTAATGTCGTACATGCAATATGTGCATATATTACCCGGCCGTATGTGTATACCGCTGTAGTTATACTTGCTGGACAATAAAAATTTTTATTAATACTCCTTATGCAGCAATAATAACTATATGATACAATAGCATAAATTCGAATATACAGAACAATAGGTATACCTAAATAAAGTATGTATGCAGCACATTGCTAGTATATGGCACATTTTGTTGTACGGACAATTATCCTGTTGCTGCTCAAATTATTTTTAGACGACCCTGATGTACGATTAGGCTAAGCGTCCTCAAGGGAAATAACTTTCGACCCGATTACTTTGGGTCTTTGGCTATGGTACTAACCATGTGCTAAGTTGCTAACCCTTTAATGCACTTCCGTGGGCTAAACTAAACGTGCAGCTGAGTATTTTAATTATCACATAACGCTGTACAAGATGAACCCTGGACCCATACAGTTGGTTAAACCGGTTAAATGTCATCGCTGTTCGCTGCCCACTAAATGGCTTGCGGTAAAGACGATAAACGATTCTATCGCTATTCCCGACATCTGCATCATTTAAAATTTTTGTTAAACCTTGAGCGATGAGAGCTTCCCACAAGAAAACTGTTTATTTTTCGTGTATACTTGATTTTCTTGAACTGTGTGCGAGGCGATGAGAAGTTTTCTGAAGCAGTCTGAACCCCGGAAAACCTGCAAAAATTAAGCGTGCTTTTGCGGCGATGTGTCCGCGACCAGATGTCTTGAGACAAAATGTCGCCAAGTCAAAATGTCTCAGTGCTAATTGTCCCTAACCAAAGTAAGTGTCCCAGCGTCAAAATGTCCCGCGGCGAAATGTCTCCGCGGCGAAAAGTCGTGCGTCGAATTTAATTGCGGCGAAATGTCACACTCCCAAATGTCCGGGTGCGTTTTTATTCAATAATCCATTTTTTTCGGAGGTAATTTTTGGGAAATACACACCCCTACAGTTAAGTTATGCACTTTGTACTTTTTGAGAATGATTATTGTGTTAGTTTACTCCATGGCAATTTGTTTATTTTATTGTAATTTATTTACTTGCTTTATTATATTTTCTTTACTGGGTAAAGGAAAACGTTACCAACGCAATTGTTGACAATTTTTGCCTGCGTTAATCATTTTCTCGACGGACAAAATAAAATTCTCTAGATCCGGTTTCGTGCATGCTGGCACACCATATCATTTCTTTTTCACGCATGCTCATTAGCATGCTCAAAATCGAACCCATGCCGCATGCTTAATAGGGAGCTCTTCAGAGCGATATTGGAATCAGATCGTCAATTAGTTCTTGACTGTTCAATTAGTTCTGCATGCTGATTTCCAAGTACGTAGTTGCATTTCTTGCGAATATCTTGTGTGGATGATGGGTTCCGTAAAGTCGTTGGGTTTGTGTGACGCATGCGAGCGCAAAGTGCATGAGAGAACAGGTGAGATGAGAAACCAAATTAAGGGGGAACTTGCTGTGTTTTCAACGGTTCGCTGTGTGCTGTGAATAAGTGGAAATCTGATCTGCTTTTTTGGCAGCCTGCTTACAGAAAGTCCTAATGTTTTCCCCGCATCCGTGTGTTTGTTGGGCTCACCCGGACCACCACCGAGCCTACCACACCCAGTCCCAATCCGGCCACCATTCCCCGGATGATCCGTTGCACTTCTCCCACCACTCGTCGCCCTCTAACGGCACTGGAATTGCAACGCACAGCACCGGTCCGATGTCGCAAGCGGTGGTGTCCTCCACGACGCCATCGCGCTCCCTCAAACAGGAGACCGACGGGAATTTCGTCATGGTGAAGCAGGAGCCGCATATGGAACTTCCACCACGCCGCCGTCGGTGTGGCAAACGGGAGCTGTGGGCAAACGGATAAAGTCGGCGACACCAAGACGGTGCTGCTGTCGGCCGCCCAAGCAGGTCACTACCAAACTCCCGTTCCCGCGCCCATGGTTTATGGTTACGGGTTTGGGAGCCCGACTAATGGATTTTTTAGGGATCGGACGGAGCAGATGATTGGGGAAAGGCACCGGCAGGCCTGTGGTTTTGCGGGGAACACTGTCAATCATACCGTGGCGGAACGTAGACCCATGGGGATCTGCCGTGTCCGGATAGTGGACTCGGCGACGCACTGGCATCCAGAGAGCACGCCGTTCAACAGGTAAAAACTGCCTGGAGTAGTATTTTGTTTATTATTATTTTCCAAAAAGAGTAGCCAGTTCCTGCAGACAGAGATTTCTTACGATCAGAAACGGCGCATGACAGCATAGTGATTTGTTTGATGTAGTTGTCCGAATTCCCGCAGCCAGGCTTTATTCAAACGTCCGACTCGTACGTGCTTTGTTTTGGCGATGTTATGACCACAAACACCGTGCCGCCAGATCCAGAGTCAACACCCGACGCTTTCGGGGAAAGGGAATTCCAGCTGCTCAAAAAGGAAGAGACAGAGTCTGATGCGGAGCCGGTCGACGGGAACCAAGAGGCATTAATTGACTTGGCCAAGGCCTTCAAACGGGCACGAAGCTACAGGGCCAAGAAGCGGAAACGAGCTGTGGTTAGTTTGTTAGTTAGCAGGATTACGTAGATAAATGTACCAATCCTAAAACAGACCTTTAACTGCATCTGGTTTCAGGGTCAAATGATTAAACCGTGTCCTATTTGTGGGCACCCTAAGGACGTTCGCTAATGGAAGTAACTCATCCGCCGTAACCACCCACAGATCCAACAGGATTCTCGAGATGTAACATATATTAATTTTTCTGTTTTTTTGCGGAATGCAACACAGCATGTTTAATTGTGTGTTCGGTCAGGGTCATTTGTTGCTTTTTTTCTATGAAGTGTAATTAACGTTCTCGCTGTGTTCAACGAACGACATCTCGTCTTATTGGTGCTGCTTTCGACCTCAACTGCGAATTAATTTTACTTTACCCTTCCAATGGGCAACAGCAAGCAGCATCCAAGTTAGATCTTACGGCGGTTTCGGTGCTAACAAGTCAATGCTTTGACCTTAAGTTAATTTAAAATCGACAGTTAGATGCTGTGTGTGGTCCCTTCGGAAATTTAAACAGTATACAAACATACTGTACGTAATCGCATGCTAACCGGAATCAGTTAATTTAAGATACACTGGTTGGCATAAACATCACACGATGTAATTATTATGATAAGGCATGTAGTATACCGCAAATCGAATCGCTGGATACCGTATTTAAAAGGTTAGCAGGTATGACCATGAGTTGAATTTACGCTTTTAATTCATTGGTTCTGATGTTATCACAGCAAAAATTACAAAATCGTTATCACAGCAAAAATCATTAGCCAGTATCGAAGGGGACCTGCCAAAACTAATTTCTCTCCCAAGACATCCAAACCGACAGTCAACCCAGTCACGTTGACAACATCAAATCCCGCCGCGGTAAGTACGTCAACAAACAGGGTTTCGGTGATTTGCGCAGTTACGTCATCAACCAGATTCTTACCAGAATATTCGGTCCGCAGAGCGCCGAATGCGTCGCTAACAATTCTGAATAAACGGATCCGAACATTTTGGCATACGATGGAGCCATTTCGGCTTTGCACTGTTTCTGTTCACCAAAAAGGTGGCTTTCTACTAAACGCACACGCTGACATTTGGTGCACTCTCCACAGGCTGGCAGCTGGGGATTCTCTTGCCATTACGAACAAAAAGTCCGACAGCGCTTCCTTACCGTGCCACTGCCCTAGCAAGCGATACACGCCGAACGATGTCAAATAAGCGATCGATGACACAATCCGGAAAACCGTCAGTCCAACGGACTGCGCAAAGGTCATCAAGTGGTGCAGGCTGGCAAGGGTTTCAAAAGGTACAAAATCCGGCGCTCCATCATTGTGGTAGTGCAGCACTTCCCATGGTAATCCCAAAGCGACCGTTGCCTGTTTTCCGTTTTGTTGTGACGTATACGGTAATAATATCGCGTGGATGTCGTCTTCTTGGTGCTCAAAGTTCTTGTAAACCGGTTTCCGACCGGAAGGAGAAATGAGTTCGAAGAGTCGCTCATTTCGTACCTCTTTTCGAACGCGACCATCGGGTGCCATGTCATTGTCGTCGTAAGCAACCATAAATTTCATCACGTCTACACCCGCTTTCTCCATGATTTCCAGCCATAACGTCGAATCCTTCCCCCCAGAAAATCCAAGATAGTACTGAGTGGGATTAAGTTTAACATCGGAGTCGGTTGCCGTCGGTGTTGCCTCCTTCGCAAAAGTAAGCTTCCCTTTTTTCATACCATATAATCGCTCGTAAACAGACGTGGCCAGATGGAACGAACCTTCGACATACGCTTCCAGAGCTGTCACCTCTTTATGGCTGCCCGAAAGTTCAACATTTAACGTGGATGCGAAGCATAAGTCAACGGCAGCCCATGCTAGCAAGGCGCCCTTCATTAGTATTCTCCCAAGGTCATTTAACGATTCAGATTTTTCGTAAATACACTCTGCGATGTCTCCCCACCAGACACTGCGATGACCTTTTCCGAACCTTCACCGGAAACCGAAATTAACTTTAACGGACAGTGAACTGGAAGATCCGTAATTAATATTGTCTTGGTTATCACGCTTTTTTCGTAGTTCTTGATGTTTACGCAGTACACCCAACGTTTTCGCCAACAGTACGGGATTTGTCAGACGCGAAAATTCCGGACACTGGTCACACAAACCACTCCCATAGGCTAAAGACGTATCGCCCAGTACGCACCCGATACGCGATCCTGAAACCAAACCATATCGACTGATGTAGGAATGGATTCCGCTGAGAACCGCACCAGCGGATGCTCCCACAAACAGTCCCTCTTTTTCCCGAGCTAGTCGCGAGAACTCAAACGCAGATTCCCCGCTGACTTCGATCACCATATCCACCAGCGCCAAATCCGCCGTGTCCGGGATAAAATTATCGGAGATCGTGCTCACTGGGTGGTCTCTCCACACGGGGACACCGCCATCATGCGACACTTTAATAATCCCACCTTCGACGTCAATTAACACGATCCACGTGGTCGAACTGTGCTCCAGTAAGTAGCGGCTCACACCGGAGAAGGTACCTCCGGTGCCCATAATGCTGAAAAAAATATCCATCTTCCCGTTCATCTGTTGCAACAACTCGGGCCCGGTGGACGTGTAGTGCGCTGTCGGGTTCAGCGGGTCCTGGAACTGATCGACGACATATGCGTTCGGGATCGTCTGGCCCATCACACGGGCCGTGTGCACGTATCCACCGGGTTCGTTTGAATTCTGGCTCCCGTCACAGATGACGACTTCGCCGCAGACACGGCGCAGTAGATCCTGTTTGGCTGGGGAGGTATCGCTTGCCATTACGACAATAACACGATAGCCGAACAGTCGACCGTATGTGGCGACGGATAAGCCGAAGTTTCCGCTGGCTGGGACTATTAACAGTCCGCCAGGAGTGACTAGGTTCCTTTCTACGATGTTCTTAACGATTTGTAGTGCAGGGCGATCCTTAACGCTTAAGAGGGGATTCAGGTATTCCAATTTGGCGATGACGTGGTGAGACGGGAACATACGTTGCAGGCGGAGTGCCGGTGTCCGACCCACTAGATCGGTTGCAGTTTCCGCAACGAACAGTGGTGGCTCGCTGTTAAAAAACTTGTCATAGCGCGGAAATTCGGCATTCATAAGCGCATGATCGACAATGCAGGTCTGATTCTCCATTTCTTACAACTTGTAGAAAAAAGTCTGGCAAAAACCAGGCAGAAAAAATACAAAATTTTTACTTTTACAGGTTAGCGAATAACATTCGCATCAAGAAGAATACTTTAGTGAAAGGGCGGTTTAAACACTGGCAAGCGGATATCGAACAACCTTTTAACAAATGCAATTTTAATTTTTCCGCTTTAGGAAACATGTTTATTCAGATTTGTTTGTTTGCTTTTATACCTGTTTGGATCGATAATGATAACAGCCATTATTGTGATTACGGAATGTTGTGCGAAACTGACGGTACTTATCGGTCGTGCATTATTTGGCCTTGTAAACGTAGAATAATGGTCAAGAATTCTATCAGATTTTGTTAAAATCACGGGTATCTCCACGTTCTATGTACATCCTTACCGATCCTAGTGAACTTTGCTCTGCTGATCATACGTTTTATAACTTAAGCGAAAGATTTAACATTTTTACAAGAATTATAGTCTGTATCCGTCAACACAGGAAACGGTATGCACGATTTTCTATCTAACCCGGAAACGCATATTTCAGGAACAGAAACGTCGCTTTCCTATCCTGACTTGCCGCTTAATCACGGTGCAAGCGTGGAAAATTTGCACTAATTTACAGATCATCATACCGTTTAAGCACTAAGCAGCACTGATACTGTTTTATTCCGGTCCGTTTTATCGGGCTTTAACTGAGTCTGATGTCATGATCGAAACTTCGGAACTGCAATAAATCAGTAACTCATTATTCGCTCAAGATGAACCACAGCTGGCTCGTAGCGCAATCATTTTATCCCGGTTAACATACGGTTAATTGCTATCAAGTAATCAACAAGTTATTCCCACGATGGTGGTGCATAAAAGCCCGCAGTCAAAGCAGTTAAGGACAATGACCCGGTACATGGTGTCAAAAATACACTAAAACTTTGGCTTGCGCGCACTCCAATTCACTTTTTGGAATACTTTATGTCATTTTAAAGCTAAATAATCTGTATACATTGTTCTGAAAACCGTTTGCGCGCGCAACATCCCGCTGCTGAGTTATGGCGTACAAAAATGGACGAAATATTTAAATGCATTGTTGTGTACTAAAAGTCTGGTTGTTACCCAAACTCTTCGAAACTTTGCTGTAAGAGACACATGGCCATGATATCGAAAGTAAACCAATTCCAGATCCATAGCATTTTCTTCTCATTTTAAAATTGATTTCAAAAATTTTAAGATTCAATTTAGAATTATGGGAAAGTGCCATGAATTCCATTCTGAAACTGGTTAAGATTCGACTTCATGGCCATGTTTCTTTTGCAGCAAAGTTTCAAGAAGATCGGGTAATAACCAGACTTTTGGTACACAACAATTCATTTAAACTTTTCACCCATTTTAATACGCCATATCTCGGCAACCGAATGTTGTGCGCGCAAACCGTTTTCAGAACGATGCATACAAATCATTTAGCTTTAGACCAGCATAAAAAATTATAAACAAGTCATTCGGAGTGCGCGAAAAGCGAAAGTCTTAGTGTATGTATCCCATTTTTGACGCTATGTACCGGGCTATTGTCATTAACCGGTGATTGTATTTTGCCGTTCATACGATGTAGGGCAAGAGAGAACTGAGAACACTTCGCCTGGTGGGCCGACATGAGTAACGACTTAATTAGGTGTCCGGGATAGTCCAAACAAAATCGATGGTTTTTTATTTTTTAAAATTTTAACCATCAAGTAGTGTTTGCTTGCTTTTTTTGTTATTTGGGAGGCTGTACAAATAAAAGTTTTTATGGAGTTTGTTAAAAGCATACGCATAACAGCAGTCTCGTTTCGTGAGTACGATTTTTTATTCGGACAACTGGCGCGCTAATCACACCAACTGCGTGGTACTCGTATTGCAGTAATTGCAATAACTGCGCAACATTTTGCGGTTTGCTAGAGCTTACTGTAGCCGCGCGATGAGTTTGCACCACAGAGTCTGGTAAACGGGAATCATCGCAAACGCTGCAGCACACTCTGCATATAGCGTATGCAGGGGGTAGACTGCGGCCGGATCTGATAGTGGTGCAAACTCATCGCGCGGCTACAGTACACAACAACCAGGACGCAGCTCAAAAAGAAATCTAAAGTTTTCAAGAAACTAATTGTTTGAATAAAAGAAATGCACCAATGCGCAGCTCACGCTACATCATTACGATAGTTCGACTTGAAGCTGAAGAGTTGGGAAAAGAACAAGACGCGTTG